AGTTGAGGGCATTATGAATCATGGGAGAGGGGAAGTTACACTCCTTGACATAGCAGGACATCTGGGATGTCCGGAAGTTGAATGCTTCATCCTGGGAGCAGATGCAGCGGAGCTGGAGAAATTGGGAGTACGGGATTGCATTTTTGCGAGAGCGTGGGTGACAGGAGGTGTAGTCAAGGTAGCCGTGGGAGTCGGTGGGCTTGAAGTAAATGTCAGTGCTGAGGCGGTTACCAGAGATGGAGACAGAGGGGTCCAGGAAGGGGAGGGAGGTGTCAGAGGTCCAGGTGAATTTGAGGTCAGGGTGAAAGGTATCGGTGAAGTCGATGAACTGTTTGAACTTCTCAAGGGAGCATGAGGCAGCACCGATACAGTCAATGATATGGCGGAGGAAGAGGTGAGGGCTGGTGCCAGTGTAGCTGCAGAAGAGGGACTATTCCATGTATCCTATGAAGAGGCAGGCATGGCTCTGACCCATGCAGGTGCCCACAGCCACCCTCTTTGGCTTGTGGGAAGTGGGAGGAGTTAAAGTAGTTGAGGGTGAGGACAAGTTCTATCAAGCGGATGTGTGTGTCAGTGGAGGGGGACTGGTTGGGCCTGCAGGAGAGGAAGAAACGGAGGGCTTTTAGGCCCTCCTCGTGGGGGACACAGGTGCAGAGAGACACTATGTTCGTGGTGAAGTAGTGGTGTTGGGAGCCAGGGAATTGAAAGTCTTGGAGAAGGTGGAGGGCCTGGATAGTGTCCCAAACATAGGTGGGGAGTTCCTGGACCTGGCGGAAAAAATGGAGTCGAGGTAGACAGAGATGAGTTCAGTGGAGCAGGAGCAGGCAGAGACATTGGGTTAGCCGGGGCAGTCAGGTTTGTGGATTTTGGGTAGGAGATAGAAACGCGTGGTGCAGGGTTGGGGAACAACCAGTTTGGAAGTTATGGACAAGCGGTCTACTGAGGTGATGAGTCTGGGATGTGATGGTTTGGTGATCGGGGTGGGGTCATAATTGAGGAGACAGTATGTGGTGGTGTTGGAAAGTTTGCATCTGGCCTCAGCGATGTACAGGTCAGTACGCCATACTACCTCCGCACCACCCTCCTCCCCTGCCATCAGCGGGTTTAATGGTGAGGTTGGGCTTGGAGTGCAGGCAGCAGAGGGCTGCATGTTCTACTGGGGGAGAGGGTGGAGTGAGTGAGAGGGGTGGAGAGATTAAGGCGATTGATGTCACGATAGCAGCTGGGGATGAAGAGGTAGAGGGACAGTAGGAGGCCAGCAGATGGTGTCCATGCGTTGAGGTTTGTCAGAAGCAGGGGAAGGGGTCTGCAGCAGGTATATTGGGCTCCTGTTCGATAAAACCTAATGTAAAGACAAAACCTAATGTTTTCAGACATGAAAAAGCAGAGAAGACAATGTAGTAGTGGTAACATCACTGGACAGTAATCCAGAGCGAGACAACGTTGTAGACGTAATGCCATTGGACAGTAACCCAGAGCGAGGCAATGCTGTAGTGGTAATGTCATTGGACAGTAATCCAGAGATATAGGTTAATGTTCTGGGGGCATGAGTACAAACCCCTCCTCGATAGATGGTAAAATTTAAATGCATCAAAGAAACATGGAATACACAGCTAGTCCCTATAACGGGGCTAGTCCCTATAACAACCATCATCAATTATTGTAAAAACCAACCTGGCTCTCTAGGAAAACCTGCTGTCCTGACCTGGTCTATGCACGACCGCAGACACACAGCAATGTGGTTAACTCTTAACATTCCTCTGCAGTGAACTAGCAGGCCACTCAGCTCAAGGGCAATTAAAAATGAAGCTTGCTAGTAATACCCATATTTGATGGAAGAACAAAAGGAACGACTCAAGGTGATTCATCCCGGAGTCACTCACACAATGACTGCCACATTGTGCCCATTCAAAAACAGGCCAAGGATAGGATAATTCTTCACATGACTGTGCAAAACAGCTTTGAAAATCTTGTTGGGAACCTACAGCCTTCAGGATTTGATAGAGTTCAATAATTTTAGGGCCTAACCACCTTCACCTTCACCACCCCCCCACCATCACCCCCCCCCCACCATCACCACCACCCCGCCCCCATCACCACCACCCCGCCACCACCTATCATTTACTCTTCCTCCCTCCCCCACTCCACCTTCAGCATATATACCAACATTTTCTCAGCTACAATCAGTCCTGAAGAAGACCTGCTTTCTCTCCATAGATACTGCCAGACCTGCTGAGTTTCTCCAGCAATTTATGTTTTGGTTACAACTTTGATTACATTAGAGCATGTAAATAAGGATGCCCCTTTTAAAATCACAGCAAGTGACCAATGGATGGTTGTTCAATTTCCATTCTTCAAAAATTACCGAGTAGCTACCTCTGAAACTAGCTATACGACTATGCAGCGTATTCAGCCCTGGCAGAGACTTGGGAATAGATTTAGGTAGACCTCTTAGCAAAAGAATGGGTTCAGAGGCAAGGTAGGAAGTCGAAAATAAATGAGAGAGAATTAAACACTGATATGGCTTTCATTTGATGCCATTCCTGTTTAAACATTATAAGGTCAGAATTAATTCAAGGCAAAAAGAAAACATACTCACCACTTTTTGGCAAGGCCTGGATAACTGAGACAGCTGCCTGAAACTGTCTCTGGCAATCAGACTGAGCCTCTGCCATGCTGTACTTGCAGGCGTCAGTGGAAACTTAATTGAGCAATCCAGCCTTACAAAGCTGTTGGTACAAACACAATAGACACTGAATGACTAATGTGACTCTCACGGTTTTGGTGATACCCAAAAGAATTATTGTGTGGCACCTAGCAAATATGATCTATAGTCAAGTTCACAATCGGTGGGTAGTGTAGACTAACTGCAGAGAAGTATCAAGTACTGATGACAAATATTTATTTTGCACTCAACAGCAACAGTATCGACGACTTGTACCCCAGAACTAGCCATGCCCAATACCTGTGAACAAATAAATTACCTGAATTTTTGAAAAATTATTCAGTGGGATGTGGATGGCACTGGCAAGGCTAACATTTGTTGTTCTTTGCAAATTGCTGCTGAACTGTGTGGTGTGATAGGCTATTTCGGTGGGCAGTTACAAGTCCACAACATTGCTGTGTGTCTGGATTGCCACATGTAGGCCAGATCAGCTAAGGATGACAGATTTCCTTCCCTAAAAGAACATTAAATGAGCCAGAAGGGGTTTTACAATTGCTGGTCACCATTCCTGAAACGAACTTTATATTTCCAATTTAATCGCAATTCAATTCCATCAGTCATTATTGAAATCAAAACTGGCCCATGTATGTTTTTTTTATTTCCAGCATGGGATTCAAGTATCAATGGCAAAACCACCATGTATATTCCATATCTGAACTGTTGCAGTCCGTGCGATATATTTCAGGCTCCAGTGCCTTTAGGGTGTCTGAGGATTTGGACCTAGCAGCAATAAAGGAATGGTGATGTAACTCTTGGCCTGGCTAGGGTATGACTTGGAGGGGAACTTCCAGGATGGTGACATTCCCATCCATACGCTACCCTTGTCACTTTAGGTGCAGAGGTTGCAAGTTTGGAAGTGTTCTTGAAGGAGGCTTGATGACTGTGGTGTAAGTGGTGCCAAACTGCTTGGCCCTGATTGTATCAAGCTTCGAGCATTGTCGGAGCTGGACCCATCTAGAAACTGGGGAGTGTTCCATCATACCCTGGATTTATGACTTGTAGATGGTGGGCAGGCCTTGGGGCGTCAGGGGGTGAGTTTCTCAGCACAGAATTCCCTATATCTGACTTGTTCAAAGGGAAGATCGAAGCTGAAACTGGAAGATAATTCTTGCCGCTACAGATAGTTATATTGAACATAAAACTGATCGTCTGGATTCTGATTGTGAAACTATTTTAACGATACCACAACTTCCTTTAAAATTACTCCTATTACTCTGATCGTAACTTGCAGATACCACACTCTGCAAAGCCCCCATACATTCAGCTCACAAAAAAAACTGAGGTGAACGTCTGCGGTTTGCAACAAGAATAGGATCTGTGTAACCAGGGTAAGAGCTGCACACATCCCTGTGTCATGAAAGTGAGAATTTTAAAACTGCAATCGCTCATTTCCTGTTCTTCTGTTTTACATCCTCCCAACACCATTTTCCTTTTCTCCACTGCTACTCATGGAGTACACCAGGACCCACACAAGTGGCATGGAGTCAATAAGCAGATGCATGTCAAAGGTCATTTTTGAAAAAAAAGTCTAATTTATCAGGCGGTGGAGAAGTATTGAAAAATTGACAGGCCTGACAACAAAACAAACAGCCAGTGAGATATACAGCCCTGTACTTCTGAAGCAACAAGCTTCATTATCACTTTAATCTGTTGGACTGATTTCATAATCATATCAGTTATTACAAGCTACAGCACAGAAGTGATAACAATGCCAAAAAAGTTAACGCTTTTGGACAAGCCAAAATAAAAGGGTATGGCATTATGTCACAAAATAAATCTTAACTCAGGAACTTAAGGCATGGCAGTTGTCAAGTTATAACATCAGGAATTGTGTCCAAAGTCAGAAGACACTTTACCTGATGAAGGAGCAGTGCTCCAAAAGGTTGTGATTTCAAATAAACCTGTTGGACGATAGCCTGGTGTCATGTGACTTCTGCCTTTGGAAATCCAAGTCTAACATTGGCATCTCTAAATCAAGAATTGTGAACAGTGGTTGGATAGCCCTGGATTGCATCATTCAGAACTATTTTATGTATGGTTTCTCTTCAGTTCCTCAGACTGACATGCTTTGACCCAAGAAGAGCATGGTTGTACATGTTTTTAGATGTTTTCTTATTCAGTCAAAGGATACAGGTTACTAATAACAAGGATCTTTCAACAAAGTCATGTACTAACAGTCCAAACAATTGCCACAATGAAAATTGATAGCCAGTGTCACAACACTGCATCAATGACAGATAGTTTACAGAAATGCATGCATGCATGATTTCTGATACAATGAGCTCCCTATTTCCATAATTGGAAGTTATCATGTCAACACTACGTAGCTACCGTCAAGAGACGAACAAAACTAGAAAAGCAAAACATTCAAAGAACAGAGCTATTTTAACTAGGCTATTTTACTGACTGGATGGGAGATAAGACAATCCCTCTTCCTAACTCTTGAAGCTTTTCCATTTGTTGAAGAAAGTAGCAAGAACAGCCTGCAGCTAAAAGGATCACCGAGGAAAGCTAGAATCGCTAGTGAGAAACTAAGAACATGAATGAAGCAAAGATACACAGGAAATGAGCACGCTTCGGCCTATAGGTTGTTTCGATGCAGTAAGCCACTTCACAAGTGTTTTTATAGACCATTGCATAAGCCTTGTGTCACTAATCACCCAAAAACCTGCAGTACGCAAAAGGTAATATGCACCTTGTGCTAAACTAATAAAAGGATTACGGTTTTAAAAAGAGCGATTACATTTGGGGAGTAATGGCGGAGTGGGGGAAGTAGTTGTTTTAAACAGGGCCAGGTGTTGCAGACAGTATAACAATGACCAATCAAGTGTACCCAACTGAGGTGGCAAGGCTTGGAGCTGCAGCCGCTATTTTTATGCAAAAGTGCTGCAAGAGATTATGGCAATCTATTTATTTTCCAATTACACCTTGCAAGCAGCAGGCTTGGATTTAAGTGTGTGGGTTGATTCTTTGTCCTCAATCCTAACTAGAGTTTTCAGAACCTTTACCAAACTTCTGATCACACACCTTGGTTCATTGCATGTACAAATCACTAGTTCCCTAGATGACTTGCCCTGTATTGCAGTTTAAACTCCTCTTAAGGAATTCAGATTTTTGTCCATTCACAAATGCCTAATTATGAATAATGTATAATGTTTGAAATTCCTGTTGGTGATACACGGATGAATGGTACAAGTTATTTGATGCAGGTTTTAACACCTTTTTTGAAACAGGTTAACACCTCCGCATTAGTAGCGGAATGCCAAGTGAAGCATTCACTGCTGATAGTTCCCACTGCTTATACCTAGTGTGCTTGCGCAAACACAATCTGTCCTTTATGGGCAGTGACTTGAAGTTCATTACTATTTTCCCCCATGTTCCTTTTTCTCTTTCATCCCCACTGCTCAGACCCCTCAGCTTTGCCTGCAGGTGCCTGATCTTCCAATTTCTTCAAAGAAACTGGAAAAGATTTCACTGATTGCAATGCTGACTGGTTATGCCAATATTAAAAACTGTGGAAATGCCAATAGTTCAAGAACAACAAATGGTAACAGATGTTAGCCTCGCTTCAGTTGATCTTTCTCCGTCTGTGACGGTTGACATTTCCACATTTGTTTTAATCCGGTGATAGCCAATGAAGGCTGGTAAAACAGAAATTGGAAAGAACCTTGCTGAGAAAGATCGTGTTCAGTGCTAACTTCCGGTCTAAAGCCAAGAGGAATATGATTAAAGCTACAGGAACAGAGTGCAACATGGCAAAGTAGGTCAAACCAAAACAAACAAATGGCTCTGCATAAAAAGAGAAACTTTAATGAGGTACTTCTGCACAAATTGAAAGGAGCTTAAGGTGTTATAACTGACAACTCTGAATTTCACACTAATGCAAATGTATAAGTACATAAGAAATAGGAGCAGGAGTAGGCCATCTGGCCCGTGGAGCCTGCTCCACCATTCAATAAGATCATGGCTGACATTTTTGTGGACTCAGCTCAACTTACCCACCCACTCACCGTAACCGCTAATTCCTTTACTGTTCAAAAATCTATCTTTGCCTGAAAAATGTTCAACGAGGTAGCCTAACTGCTTCACTGGGCAGGTAATTCCACAGATTCACAACCCATTGGGTGAAGTAGTTCTTCCTCAAAACAGTCCTGAATCTGCTCCTCCTTATTTTGAGGCGATGCCTCCTAGTTCTAGTTTCACCCACCAGTGGAAACAACATTCTATCTTATCTATTCCATTCATAATTTTAAATGTTTCCATAAGAACCCTCATCATTCTTCTGAATTCCAAAGAGTATAGGGTCCTAGTCTACTCAATCTGTCCTCCTAAGCCAACCCTTTCAAATCCAGAATCTCCTAGAGAACCTCCTCTGCACCCCCTACAGTGCCAGTAGAGCCTTTCTCAAGTAAGAACTCCAAAACTGGACACAGCACTCCAGGTGTGGCTTCACTAGCACTCTATAGAGCTGCTGCATAACCTCCATATTTTAAAATTCCATCCCTCGAGCAATGAAGGAGAATATTCCATTTGCCTTCTTAATTACCTGCTGCACTTGCAAACCAATTTTTTGTGATTCATGTACTTACCAACATTGCAGTCCATCTGTCAGACCCTTGACCACACACTTAACCTATCTATATCTCTCTGCAGACTTTCAGAGTCCGTTGTGCAGTTTGCTCTACCACTCATCCTAGTGTCATCTGCAAACTTTGACACACTACGCTTGGCTCCCAACTCCAAATCACCTACATAAATTGTAAACGATTGCGGTCCCAACACCGATCCCTGAGGCACACCACTAGCCACTGATTGCTAACCAGAAAAATGCTCATTTAACCCCACTCTTTTCTTTCTGTTAGTTAACCAATCCTCTATTCATGCAAATACATTACCCGTAACGTTGTGCCCCTTTATCTTATACAGCAGGCTTTTATGTGGCACCTTGTCGAATGCCTTCTGGAAATTCAGATACACCACATCCACCAGTTCCCCATTGTCCACCGCGCTCATAATATCCTCAAAGAATTCTACTAAATTAGTTAAACGTAACCTGCCTTTCGTGAACACAAACTGTGCCTGTCCAACGGGACAATTTTTCTATCCAGATGTCTCTCAATTTCTTCCTTGATGAAAGATTCAAACATTTTCCCCATAACAGAAGTTAAGCTAACAGGCCGATACTTGCCTGCCTTTTGTCTCCCTCCTTTTTTAAACAGTGCTTAACATTTGCTATTTTCCAATCTGCCGGAATCGCTCCAGAATCTAGTGAATTTTGGTAAATTACTCTAAGCGCATTTGCTATTTCCCCCTCCATCTCTTTTAGTACACTGGGATGTATTCCACAGGGCCAGGAGACTTGTCTACCTTCAGCCCCATTAACGTCTCCAACACTATTTCTTTAGTGATAATGATCATTTCTAGGTTCTCACCCACCATAGCCTCTTTGTAATCAATTATCGGCATTTGTGTCTTCCACTGTGAAGACCAACACTAAATACCTGTTCAATGCTTTTTAGTTGATATAAGTGACTGCCATTATACAGAAGGCTGTAAACCCCCTACCTGCATCCACCTATCACCATTCTACCTACCTTACCCCAGCCCCAGCACCACCACCGCCCCCCCATTTATTTCTGAGCTCCTTTCCCCCTGGCCAGTCCAGATGAAGGGTGTAAACCCGAAACATCGACTTTCCTGCTCCTGACATCGTCTGACCTACTTCGTTCTTCCAGCTTCACACTCTACTGATGTCATTATGAAGGATATTTTATGTGGTGGGTCCCTATCACCAAGAATAAATCACAATACTTTAAACCACGATAAAGTATTCCTGAGAGTGACTAGTGACATGGAATTTCCTATGTGATGATCCATAGGAGGATCTGGGTGGTTTAGTGAGTTAGCAAATTGCCTGCTAAACTCTGGGGTGAGGATCCAAATCCATCAGGGAATCATTCGAAAAAAGCACATGTATCATAAGATCACAAGATACTTTTTAATGGCAAATGATTCATCTCAACTCTTCGATCCAGAAATCTCTCCCTTTGTTATCTTTAACTGATTCACAATTAATTTTAGCTTTTCACAACTCCAGGATTTTACCTGGAAACCCGCCAACCATATTTTGTGAAGAATTTGCTAATATCAGTTTTAAGTTAATCTTTTGTTTGGTTGAAATCCTCATAATATTCAAAAGGTACTTGGATATTCACCTGAAATGCGTAAACTACATGGCGATGGACTAAGAGCTAGACAGTAAGATTAGGCTGCAACTATCCACAATTCCATAACTTTCCACCAAGCTGCAAGGCCCAGTTTTAAATGAGTTTGGACAATCTCAGTTTCAACAGACAAGTCCACAACAGTCAGTTGCCAACACATTCAGACCCATCAATTGTGACAAATGATAAGGATTTCAACCAATAAATGTCGAGAACACCGGAGTTGCTGAGGTTGGCACTATCTGGAAGGTAATAATGGTTCTGAAAGGGTTAATGTTGCAGAATGCATCGAGCTTCACCCAATCCAATGACGGAATGGGATTAGGAAAAGGCAGAACATCTTAGGATCTCGTTGGGGGAAGACAGGTCATAGATCACAGATCATAGATCATCGAATCCCTACAGTGTGGAAACAGGCCGTTCGGCCCAACAAGTCCACGCCATCCCTCCGAAGAGCATCCCACCCAGACCCATCCCCCTAATTTCCCATGTCTAACCCACCTAACCCAAACATCCCTGAGCACTATGGGCAATTTGGCATGGCCTTTTCACCCAACCTGCACATTTTTGGACTGTGGGACAAAACCGGAGCACCTGGAGGAAACCCATGCAGACACGGGGAGAACATGCAAACTCCACACAGGCAGTCGCCTGAGGCTGGAATCGAACCCAGGTCCCTGGCGCTGTGAGGCAGCAGTGCTAACCAATGAGCCACCATGCCGCCCTAAACAAAGACAAGTAATTTGGGCTTGTCCACGATTTAAACCCGGGATCTCTCGCATATTCACGTTGTACCATCCCCAAAGCAAGAATCATACCCTTAGACCAACGAGCCATTGGCACGTCTCCCAATAGTCTTAGTAATAATGTCCAACCTACTTATATAATTTGTACCCGATTGCTGTCATGCAAAAAACAGTATCTTGTTTGGGGGCTCTAGAAAGCAGAGGTAGTGTCCCAATCTTTAGGCCAGGAGACCCTGGTTCAAGTCACACCTACGCCAGAGGTATATAACAACATCTTTGAACAGGTGGCTTTGAAAATATCTGTCTTGCTTTGTGAAAGAACATCATCTTGTCAGGCCTCAGTATCGGTCTCCCTTTCCACTGTGAACTACGTAGGCCCTTAGACCTAGAGAAGAAAATGCAATGGTGGTAGCAAACCACCCTAACAACAAGCTGGTAATAGTCAGCACTGCGGCACATAAAGCAACATATTGCGATATATGAGATAACAAGGTGTAGAGGTGGATGAACACAGCAGGCCAAGCGGCATCTGAAGAAGGGTCTAGGCTCGAAACGTCAGCCTTCCTGCTCGGCCTGCTGTGTTCATCCAGCTCTACACCCTGTTATCTCAGATTCTCCAGCATCTGCAGTTCCTACTATATACTGCGATATATATTAGGTGGATAGATTCCAGAGTTTAAAAATACTTGGTCCCATCCTCAGCACGACCTGCCCTGATAAGCACAAACATGCACACAGAAACAAGAGAATGCAAACTGCTGCCACATACTTCTCGCCGTTCCCTATTGCCAACTCTCTCTACAAATATTGACCAACGTTGGCGGCTGTCCCAGCAGTCCTTTGAGTTGCACAATAAATTACACTACCAGCACAATGTCAAACAGGGCACTCGGTGCAGCAAATGCAATTCCTAGAGATTTAAACTAACCTGGAACAGATCAGTGTCAAAGGCCTAGAAGACTATTGGCACCAAACTTAGAGGCACACTTTTCACATTGATGTTTTTCCTTGATCGGTACTGTACTGGAACTGCTTATAGGCAGAGTTCCTGATCCACACGTTCCCTGCTGTGAGATGCCTAAAGTGGGAATGAGAAAAATGAGTCATAATGCACATAATCTGCTATCTCACTCTGCCTCCTAAATGTAGAAGGAGCAAACTCAAAGAAATAGGAGCAGAAATAAATCACAGCGGCCTTGGAACCTGTTCCAACAAATAACGCGATTAAGGCTGATATTCTGCCTCAAAGTTACTTTCCCACCCACCCTCCAAGTTACTTGATTTCCTGAGAGGCCAATACTCTGGCTATCCCAGCCTTAATTATTTCAATGATGGAGCATCAACAACACTCCTGAGGTAGGGAATTCCAAAGATTTACAACCAGTTGAGTGAAGAACATTCTCTTTATCTTAGTCTGAAATGGTAAGCCTCTTAACCCAAGATTGGTTTCTCCATGTTTTGATACTATTATGGACCAGACCAAACCCCCTCAAAATATATCAAGGAGATAGCCTTGACTCTAACTTTTATTTTATTTGAAGGAAAGCGTAAGGCACTGCGTTCCAGATGTGACTTGATTTGGCAAACTACTCGGCTTTTAGCAAGACACTTTATTCTTACACCACAGTTGAAACATAAACAAAAAAAAATTGCTCTAACTTTAACTCTATCGAAATACTTAACAAAATAATACATATTTTAACTACTACTCATCAACTGTTCCAATATAGCAGCATCCCACAAACACATCCTTGGCAAAGGCAAATTCGGCAAAACAGATCTCCCTCACTCGTGATCTTCTGTAGTCCAGGACAAAGAAAAACTGAAAGAATGAATCTCGCAGCAGAGAGCGACAGAGCGAGAGCAGGAGAGGGAGCGAGGGAAAGAAAGAGACACAGAGAGAGTTTTAGCAGCAGCAGAGAGTTATATCTAACAGCTTCAACTCCAAACCCCAACTTCAGCAGCTTAGGGGTAATTTTTTTCCACCCAGAAGGTGGTGTATGTATGGAAGGATCAGCCAGAGGAAGTGGTGAAGGTGGGTACAATTACGACATTTAAAAGGCATTTGAATGGGTATATGAATAGAATGGGTTTGGAGGGATATGTGCGAAATGCGGGCAAATGTGATTGGGTCAGATTGGGATCTCTGGTTGGCACAGATGAGTTGGACTGAAGAGTGAGATTCTGGGCTGTATAACTCTATGGTTCTATAACCAAAAGCAAAATGAAAACCCTAGGTCTATGCGAGCTTGATTCCACCCATTCATGCTTCTGTTTAGTTTAAAAATGCTAAAGCTATTTACTCTGCTTTCCATGGAGCAGACACCTCAGCACCAGATTTATAACACACTTCTTCAAGAGAAACAGGACAAATCAAATCCCTTTTACGAGGCACATCTTGTCACAATACCCCAGCCAGAACAAATATCTTCTCAGCGTCTGCCCTGTCAAGCCCATCTAGAACCATGTCCATTTCATGTAATCATCTCTCTTTCATCTAAAACTCCAGTCAAAGGATGGGGCCCATTTACTCAGCCTCTCACCAGAGGAGAACTGTTGCTTTCTAGGAACTAAAGTGGTAAAAGCTTGCTGCTTTGCCTGCAAGACAAATACATCTTTCCTTTTCTGAAGAAGGGTCTCGGCCCGAAACGTCAGCTTTCCTGCTCCTCTGATGCTGCTTGGCCTGCTGTGTTCATCCAGCTCTACACCTTGTTATCTCTTTCCTTGGAAAGTGCTCAGATTAATCAAGGTGTGGTCTCACCAAAACCCTTGAAGCAATTTACTTATACATCAATTGCCTTTCAATAAAGGCCACACACCACAATTTCCTAATTCCTTGCTGTACATGAATACTAACTTTAGCTCCTGAAGTGTGTACACCTAAGTTTCTCTAAATGTTAGTTTTTAGAACTTCAGATCTTTGAAAAATAAATGTCTTTTTTTAAGCCAGAGAGAATAACCTCAGGCATCCCTCAATATCCAGTATCTACCAACTTATTGCCCACTCACTTTACAACTCTATGGGTGAAATTTTTTCAGAAAATCTTCATCAACCTGTTCAGGGATGTCATTCGACACATGTGGAGAAGGTGAGATTTGAACCCACATCTCTTGGCTCAGAGGTAGAGACACTATCACTGCACCAAAAGAACCCCTGGGTGAAATCTTCTGCACCCAGTGTAGTGAGCTTGGAGACAGGATTTGATTACACAGGGATTGACATTCCACCTCCTTCCATCCTAAGCTCGAAGGAAGTTCTGGGTGGAAAGACCCATGGTTGACTTTACTGACATGTGAGGCCTTTAAGTGGCCAATTAAGGATGACAGGGGTCTTTATACCAGGCCCATTAGTGGCCCCTCCAATGCCTTCATAGTGTGTAGCTGAGCAGACCTTCCGGAAAAAAAGATAGAGAGGATCTCCTGCCAGTTCTAAGACCCCTGACACCTGAACAAGATTCCACCCTGTATACCATTAGACCCTCACTGAAGGAGTGAAGCTGGTTGGAGTGGGGACGAGGAGAAAGAGGGAGAGAAGGAATTGTTATAGTTAATTATATCAAAAGTTACAGCAGCCTTACACTCTGCATTGAATTCTGAGGGATTAAAGCAGCTGGGTGCAGTGAGGTGATGTTATTTTACCATTGACACCGCAGTGAGACCGCTCAGACTCTAGGTTACTGGTCAGTTTCATAATCACCTACAAAGGAAGTTCGCACTGGCTGTGTCCACTGACGCTGTCACGCTATTTATTTTTACAAAAAAACCCTCAGAACATCAGAAAAAAAAAACAACCTTTTGGGTTTTGCAAATCAAATGCAGCTACAAGGATTCATCCCGTCAGGCTTAAAAACGAAAGCTATTCCAAAACACTACCCTGATGGAAAATAGCACATGTCCCACGTATGTTACTGGGCTCGCAAACTGCAACTGTGATACTTGTCACATCTCCCTAACACCCACACACCTTCAGTGCGGTGGGAAACATGGTATTTGTGCGTTTCTGTTCAATGGATAATAGGCTCGACATCGCCACAGTCAGCATTAGGTCTGAACTAAAAACCAAGAAAGCAATGCCATTCTAACGCAGACCGGTAAAGGGTTATAACCAAGAGAATTAAGCAACAGCTGAAGCTTCACAAAAACGTCCTGGACATCTTAACTTAACCAAAATTTGTAATAATAATCATAATTCAGACAAATACCCTACAAGCATAAACAGCTCAGAGGAAGAGGCCTGCAAACAACCTTCACCAGCCTCAGTAAAATGACTATACAGGAAGTATAGGCAGGGAGGAGGAGTTACAGCTCACTCCAATCACTTTTTAAAGGGAAATTGTCTCAGATGATGCACAGTGGCTTTGGTGTTAAATCAGGTCACGCAGTAAACTCAGACCCATCAGTATAAGCGCCGTAACCTGAGTAGAGATTTAAGAATAGTTACTGTGCTCATTGCACTGTTTGGAGGATGTTGGTTTAATTTTGGTCCACATACAATAAATATCTGCTGTGGGGTTAAAAGTCTACATTGTCCACTGCTGAAATGATGCTACGTGAAGCAAAGTGTATTTATTTCTGAAGCATGGAATACATCCGCACCCTTTCCCCCCTCATAACCCCAAGCTCTGATCTGCCCGACTTTAGCACTAGATTGTAATTCCGCTCAGGTACGGTCAGACTGCTGGAGCAAGGGGTGTACTCCTGATGTTGGAACAGAGTTTAGTATTGTGGCAGCGTAGAAGCAACTTGACTTTGTATCTAATTAGGCCACGCTTGACCTGAGAGTATTCGATACTCGCTCGGGGTACTCAAAAAAGAAGTATATGCAACAGGAAATACTGTCTGTCTAGCAGCTAGAGATTGCAAGGGCTGACAGGAATTAGTGAGGTTAGAAAAACAATCACCTCCCCATGAATAAGTGGAAGTCCTGCCATTGTGGTGGTTCTGTGCAAAAGATCTTGCACAGTAGTTTGGTGCATCTGCAGTCAGAGGTGAATGCGAGAATGATCACTCATGCTGTAAAGATGATGTGGAGGTGCCGGTGTTGGACTGGGGAGGACAAAGTCAGAAGTTACATGACACCAGGTGAGAGACCAACCGGTTTATATGAAATCACAAGCTCTCAGAGTGCTGCTCCTTCATCGGATGAAGTAATGACATTGGTGTTGGAATAGTAGCACAAATAAGATCTTAATATCCATTTTTAATGACTGAAATAAAACCGAGAAAGTCATAGAATGCCTACAGTGTGGAAACAGGCCATTCAGCCTGACAAGTCTGCACCACCCCAGCCCACCCCCTGTATTTCCCATGTCTAATCTACACACCCCTGGGACACTATGGCATGGCCAATCCACCTAACCTGCACATCTTTGGACTGTGGGAGGAAACCAGAGCACAGACATGGGGAGAATGTACAAACTCTGCACAGACAGTCACCTGAGGGTGGAATTGAACCCAGGTCCCTGGTGCTGTAAGGCAGCAGTGCTAACCACTGAGCCACCATGCTGCTCCAAATTCACAAAGCTCAGATGATCCCAGATACAATATATGTAAAATTCCACACAATAACAGCATTATCACTCTCTATCATTATTTCCAGAACCTTCTCAACATTTCATAATAAATGATTGCTTATTCCTCTTGCCTTGTAGCAAAGTCAGTTCAGGTGGAGATATAACATCTATATACTGAATGAGAGAAAGGTGATGAATTTCTACCTTCATTCTGCCAGGTATATCTTTGGCATCCTTTATGTTGGCCTCTTCTACATTGGGGAAATAAGGCATAGACTGAGTGATGGCTTCACAGACCATCTACCTTCTGTCCACAAAAAAAAAACACCCTGAGCTTCCAGTTGCCTGCCACTCCAACACATCACCTTGTTCCCTGTCCAGCATCTCTGTCTCAGGCTTGTTGCAGTGCTCCAGCAAAGCTGGAATAACAGCACCTCATTTTCTGCTTGGGAACTCTACAGCCTTCTGGACTCAATATTGAGTTCAACAACTTTAGGGCTTGAGCTCTCCCTTGTGCTTACCCAAGCCCTACACACCAGGCCTTGTTATCACATGGTTATCACAGGTTGTTAGCCACTGACTGTCCCCAATGATAGCTATTCACCCTCCAAGCCAGATCGTTATCCACTCCTTTGTCAGTCCAACCATTCTTTTCTCTCTTTGGGCTGTATCTCCACCTATCATTTAGTCCTTACCCCCTCCCTCAACCTATCTTCAGCATAAAGAACAACACTTTCCTAGCTACCATCAGTTCTGAGGAAGGGTCACTGGATCCATAACAGTAGCTTGATTTCTCTTCACAGATGCTGCCTGACCTGCTGAGCTTTTCCAGCAATTTCTGTTTTTATATCCTCGGCACCTATTGGCAGGACAAGCTCCTTAATTCAAAACTCCTAGGGTGGTTCCAAAAGCATTCTACATTCAATGCTAAGCCAATGACATCTGCATTGGCATGGCCATATTCATGGGATTCTGGCAGCTATAAACCCAAAGACTTTCTGTATTGTGAGATAGCCACCGGATCACAATCTGCTTGATGCTCATAGTGCCACTACAAAGACAGCTGCAAGCAAGATCTGAAGATGGCAGACATTGAAACTGACAACTGGGAGACAGTGTTGAGGGGTTACCTGCTTGGAGGGATAATGGAAGAGATGAGCAGAACTGCAAGGCTGAGCTTGCCCAGAGGAAGTCACAGAGGGGAAACATAAGAACCTGGAGAATTCTGCACCTTCTTCTCCCACTATCTTCTTGTGCAGCAGATGGAACAGAGACAGTCATACAAGAGTGGGACTCCTGAGTGACACTAGGTGGGATTAAACACAGAGTTGATAACCATGAGACAGACAGGCTGCCAACTGATATTGCACAGGAAATGAACCATCACTCAGTGGTTGAATTTTGATCACAAGATATAAGTTCTCTTTTAGAATGTGCAGCCTCTATTTTTTAGTTTCCTCAATTTTTTTATATGCTGAAGGATCTGCAACTTGACCTTTTTGAATTCTCTCTGAGGCCGGCTCATCATGGTCCAACCTACAGCAGGTCACCGCAAAGCTGATTCTATTCAGTTGGAGTCTGCAATTAGATGATTGGAATTCAGAGCAACTAAAGAAAGTGAAATGTTGAACTTTCACATTCAGAATGCCCCTAATTAATGGCATGGCACAGTTTATGTTCTAAATGATGAATTATTGAAAGTGTTGACCTCAACCAATCGATTTCATTTATATTTTCCAAAATACACAACTTCCTTGGCTTTGAAATTCTCAAATCAGTTCAGAGCCATGAAATTTCAAGGTTGTTAAATGTCAGCACTGGGGTGGGGGAACTGGGGAGGGGTGGCACTGCATCTTATAGCTAAGTTGTGGGTGTCAAAGTGAGATTCTCACTTGGCAGTAGCGAGTTGCCTATTAAGTGGGATTATTGCTAATGACTTTATTAACTGCACATCTTGCCTCATTAATATGCACCTTCTTATCCGACCACTTGCTGTGAGCAATCTAGATGCTGAGAATTCTTTTCCATTGAAGTCAAAGCAGGCACTTCAAGCTACTTCAGTTTGTCATTGCTCCAAAGGCCCTCCATTTTGGACACCACACCCAAACATCTCAGGCAAGCTCCATGGGTACTGGCTACATCCACGAACATCGACATCCAACTAAGAACTCTCATAGCATATTTCCAATTGACTTACAGTATGTTTCTGCACATCAGCGCTGTTCCTCTGGGCATGCAGCAACTATCATTGTGCAGCAAGGACACTTTACTCTCTGGGACATGGACTGGTCCAGACTGTGCCTCTAGGCTGCTGGCTTGCTGTCTTAGTCTTGCTCGCTTTGAACCTGCCTGGATCATCACAATATCCCTGTCTCACTTTGCCTTGACTTTTTGCATGTGGCCTTTAGCCAGAGACACAGGTTCATAGTACTGCTGTCTCGCCTTGCCATTCAGTGCAGGCATAAACACAAGAAGCTTGTCCTAGCCATGAGCAGTCATCAGCCAAGTCAAGTCAAAGGTGATAGTTTTCGTTCAAGGGGTCCCAGCACAGTAAGTCAAGGATAACCTCTGATACTAGTGCAGGAGATTGAATATGATCAGTCAGCCACATGTAAGTTTCAGTGAAAATTGTGAAAATAATTAGTTGACCAGAAATCAGCAAAGAAAGTTTGGGGATTCTTCAAAAGTTCTCAAATTCTACATTTAAGTCTGAGTCAATGACAGGGGAGCAGCTGAACACATTTTCTATGTCTCTATACTTATTTGAGGGCCAATAGGAAACTCCTGCCTACAGTACCATCTGGTGATAATATTCGTATCCTTACCGTTCCCTTAGGGCTTAAGCAGATCAATCAGCAAAAACTGCCCAAAAATATCACAGAAACTCAAAAGTAGTGCATTAATGTCACTTATGCAACACAATGTATCAAACACAAAACTTCTTTTTCTGTTTGCGTAATAGTGGATAAAGATTCTGAAAATCACTGGGCAATTCAGCCTTGAATCTCAATTTTATGCCTGCCACAAAAAATTTTCAGATGACTAAAGGGCTCAAAAGTACTTTTTGTTGCTTCAGGCAAAGGGAGGGTGGGGGGCTGGTGATGATTCCCTTTGCCAATTTACATTTATTCCCTCCATTTTTCTTTTAACCTAATCCGATCAACACTTTCTATCCAATAGACCAGGTTGGCCATCTGTTCGAAAGCAGTGTTAGGCTGTTCTGTAGAAAGATGCTAGAAGTTACACAAGGGAATCTCCAGCAGATATTTCTTTAAATTATGCTGGAAAATTGTTTGGCACTCATATGGCACTTACCCTCAGCATAGCAACATAAAAATGTTAGGACCACCCGCTGTGTGAAATAAAGGGCTTATCTTTCGCTAGCACGACACAACACAACAGAACATTTTTGATTGGAAAGCAAATTCCGTCAGAGAGAGGAGCAGAATTTCTTCAAAGTGGGCATGCCTAGAAGAGATGTGGCTCATAGAATCCCTACAGTGTGGAAACAGGCCATTCAGCCCAACAAGCCCACACTGCCCCTCCGAAGAGCATCCCACCCAGACCCATTCCCCTACCCCTGCATTTCCCATGTCTCAGCCACCTCCCCTAAACATCTCTGGACAAAGGGTAATTTAGCATGTCCAATCCACCTACCCTGCACATCTTTGGACTGTGGGAGGAAACCAGAGCACCCAGAGGAAACCCACGCAGACATGGGGAGAATGTGCAAACTCCACACAGTCGCCTGAGGGTGGAATTGAACCCAGG